CTACTCTATAATACAGTATTCAGATTATCGCACTCTAAACCGGAGCCACCCTTGAAAATTGAGAATATAACGGAGCGCCTCCAGTCTGTTGAAACAAACTTCTGCTCCCATAGATCCAGGAGTAAGTTATGTAAATCGTCCAAAAAAGCAGGTCCCCTGAATCTGAAGATGGCCGGATGGAGTACATCCGCTCCGGCGGTCTTGTTTAATTTCAGCCATCTGACCACACGTCGATTTCTGCGCATGTAGGCGGATCCAAAGTGACGGCTCAGAGAGCAGGATGAACAATGGCCCATGGAGAAGCTGGCAAATCAGATTGATTGAACGGATCCACAAAGTGTTCGGTCCAACGCTCCAAGCGTTTTGACAAGCTGTGGATCGTCCGTCCACTCTAGTCGCAAATGGTCTAGCCAACACCCGGTTTCAATGAATCACGGGTTTCACGGGTTTGCGCAGAACGAGTAAGCGTAGCTTTTCGGTGGTTCTGCCTCGGGATCTTACGGCAAGGTCCTGATCACGGGCAATGCTGATCTTCAGCAAAGCAAAGATTCCCATTTCATTAATATGAATCAATATCAGAAATCATTTCAGGGTAAAGAATTCTTTTCGGTAAATCTCATCAGACCCAAACTTTTACATAACAGTGATTGTGGATATAGCGTCAACTGGGGCTGGGATTGACTTCTGGACTGTTTGAATGATAAAAATCGATAACTTGAGACAGAGATAGAGATGGTAGATCAAGTAAACTAAATAAACATATGTATACAATTCTCATTAGTACAAGGTAATTAAGTAGGTAAGATGACGTCCAAATAACTAAGTAACGGTGTCCGTTGGCCAATGTAGTAATATCGGCCGTATAAATCGTTTTTGGACACATAATTCCGGCTTTAGATGGTGAATGTACATAGCCTCGGCGATGGATAAGAGCTGTTTGCGGAATCCTTGGGAGAAGTGTTCAGGTAATGAGTAAATGACTTTGAAATCATTCTCTGAAGCTGTATGGCCACATTCAAGGTGCGACATGATAGAGCTGTCTGAAGACCTCATTTCGCCTCTGTAAAACCATGCCGGGATGTGTTCACGAACCCTCTGAGATAAGCGTCTCGTCGTGCGACCCAGGTATCGTGCACCACAGGAGCACGAGTACTGATAAATGATCATTGAACAGGTCAATGGCGGTAGTCTATCCTTCAAGGGTTTTGTAAGCAACGGCTTATTGTGAAAAATGATTCTCAGGCGGGCCGCGAAATAAGTTTTCTCGACAGCAGCTTTCAGGCGTCTGGATAACATATCAGCTGCAGAATCGCCCTTAAAGGGTACATGTATGAAAAGCTCTTTCTTAGGAGCAATGCTCCTAGGTGGCTTTCGATTACGTTCCTTCAAATGTTTCATGATAAATTTATCCGGATAGCCATTTTCCCTGAGGGCGTCGCTGATTCTCTGTAGTTCTTCGTTGACGGTATCCGGTGTACAAATACTGCGCGCCCTGAAGGCGAGAGATCTGATTAAACTCCGCTTGTGCTGTAGTGGTACTGCGCTGTGGAAGTTAGTGTACTGCCCAGTCCATGTGTGCTTTCTGTGTACCTTTCTGCTGCATGATGCGTCTGAGTTACGGATAACTACATCCAAGAAAGGTAACCGGTTTCCGAGTTCGTGTTCACAAGTGAAATGAAGATTCTTGTGTGCGTCATTGAAAGCTTTCAGCAACTGTTCCGCATGCTTTTCGGATTTGCAAAGTACGAAGGTGTCATCCACATACCGTACGTACATTTCGGTTTCATGGATGTGCGTTGCAAGTGGGCCATGTTCCAGTTTCGCCATGAATATATCAGCCAGCAGCGGCCCCAAAGGAGATCCCATTGCCACTCCGTCAATCTGACGGTACATTTCACCATTGAAAGTGAACTGAACATTTAACGTGCAACGAAGTAACACCTCCTTTAGCAAAGTCTCCGGAAAAGTTGTGTATATGGGCAGTTGCCGAGCAAGCTCGCATACGTAATCCACGGTTTCGAGCAATGGAATGTTTGTGAACAACTACTGGGCATCGAATGATATCATCCTTTTGTTAACAAGGTTGCTTTCAGATATCCTCTCAATGAATTCGAACGTGTCTCTCACGCAGTAAGTACAAACCAAATTCCGTAACGGCTGCAGCTTCGCCACCATCCACTGGGCAAACAAATGCTGAGGAGAACCCACCATGTCCAAGATTGGGCGCATTGGGGCGCCTTCCTTGTGAACTTTAGGTAGGCCATATAATCTCGGTAGGTGTCCACCTGAAGGCTTCAGCTTTTCGAATTCCTTCTTCGTGATGAGTTTGGCTTATATCATTCGCCTGAGGCAGCCGGTTAGCTGTTTCTCTAACTCTCCTGTGTTGTCTTTTCCTGTCATGAGCCTCTGAAACTTACTCTCATCACTGAGGATGTGTTGCATTTTATGGATATAATCCACCCTATCCATTAACACTATGCCAGAGCCCTTGTCTGGCTTAGAGATTATTAATTCGTTGTTTAACCGCAGCTCTTTAAGTGACTGGATTTGTTCCCTAGTGATAATACTATTACTAGATGGTTTGGTCCTAACGTATTCATGGCAACTATGAACTAGGCTAGATTTTAGATTCTCAACATCACTTGATGAGGTTGGAAGCAGGTCTTTAGTCTGAGCAACTAGGCTTTCAAACTGCACCTCTAAAGCCGCCTGATCTATTTTCTTACATGGTATGCAAAACTTTGGACCTAATGACAACACGTTCAGCTGCGTCTGGGTTAGTATCACACTTGAAAGGTTTCCTGTTGTCTGTTTCTCGTATCAGAGGAAAGAAGTTACGAGGGTTACAAATGGCAGCGGTTGACTTATCTGGATTGTCGGCTGACTGCGACGAACAAAAAAGTACTCACAAAAATCCTTCTACTCATAAGTAACATAAATTCGCCCTTACGGTTTCCATAAATGCTATGTCGATTCATAGCTGCCGTAACCGGGAAGTCCTGACACCGGAAGGCCAACCGCTATCATCTGCATGGCAGGTGCCTGCATGGCAGTGGAGGATGGGTCAGGCTATATCGCAGTTAGCTAACAATTCGTGATGGTCGGCTACCGTCCTCCATGGCGCAGTTGCATAAGCTGCGGGCTAGTTGGCACAAGCCACTAGCAGTCGTGGGTTCGATCCTCCGTAGAGGACCGAAGGATGCGCACCACTGACGAGCCCCAATAGGGCGAAACGGCCGTATGGTGCTTTTCCGGATAGGCAGTTGACTTATCTGGATTGTCGGCTGACTGCGACGAACAAAAAAATACTCACAAAGATCCTTCTACTCATAAGGCAACGGTTGTCTTCATCTCCGGCAAGCAGTTTCACCCTAAGATGTTTGCGAGTCTCATGGTATTCGCTTCCAGCCGGAACACGTCAGTGAGCATCCAGAAGTTCCAGAGACTGGGTAAAGACCCAGTGTTCAGTTTGGCAATTTGATTTGTCACATGAAGACGCCTGCTGCTAATTACGTCCGGCGGATATGCGACCAGTGGTCTTCAACTGTATTCAGTGAGCGCTTACTCAGCTGCGATGCCAGCGTACTTTGATGCGTATTCATAATATCTGACGTCGCCAGTTGCCAACTCTCTATCCGGTCACAGCGCCGTTGCGGACGTCCGCCGAAATGCACCCGAAGGTCGGCGCAAACAACTACACTGTCAGAGTCCACGCTTGTAGAACTAATCAATCGAAAGTTTTGAACACAGCCGCTCCAGTGGTAAGTGATCGCGATGTGATCGATTTGCGACCAGGGCTGGTGGGCGCCAAGTCACTCTTCTGCGGGTTTTGTGTCATAAGTTAGCGCATGTGTATCAACCGCTCATCGTTATCATTATGGGAGCCTACACCGTGCTGGCCTCCAGATGCAGCGCATTAATGGACAGTTTGCAAATCACCAGCCGGCACCACAGTATCCGTACTTATTCTGCAACGCACATTGAAGCATGCCAATGTTTGGAAGGATCGGGGCTCCAAGTAGAAGTAGATAAATTGATGTTGTCCGTTTGGCTGGGAATGGACTTGTCGACTAAACCGGAGTGACACTCTGCGATTGCGTGTGAGTCAAAATTAGAAGATAAATGATTGTGGAAGCAAGATAGGAGAGGGTTAAGAATTTGGGGAAGGGTTGAAAACAAGGGGGATAAAAGTGAAGTTGGAACGGGACGATGAGGGTAAAAAAAGTGCAGGACGGGGGATAAGAAGACGGGAAGTCTTGAGGGGTAGCATCCAAGTCCCTATCCACCCTGCTCGATGCAGCAGATAGGGAGCCGTTTATTATCCTTTGCGACGGACAGAGCATCAAGATATTGTTTGAGGGAAGGTTCATTGCACAGGGTGGACAGAATACTGTGACGCTGCCCAGGCCTAGACGGAAGAACGATCAGGATTCTCAACCGAAGCCTTTGGGCAACATTGAGTCCGTTTTGTGCAAAAGCAAAACCCATCATAGCATGATGGATTGCTGAGGCACGCGAACCACCGCACCATGTTAACGTCCAGCCTCGTCGCCATGCATTGCAGCGGAAGTGACTAAGATTTAACCTTACATAAATTGATGCCATCCTATTTCCGACCCCCAACATGAAGGACCAGAAAACGGAGTTCGTCTGATCTCTAACCATTGGCCAAACTGGTAAGAGCAGCTTTCAAGGGACTGGGAGCAACAAGCAATATAGCTCAATGGGTTGAATAGATACGCGAGCCGTCGCACCACGACGCGTTGTAATGGGATACGCGCCTATAATTGTCTTAGAAGCTCCGATTACAAACAGGACAATCGATGCTTGGGATAACTCAATGACGCAGATGGGGTGACTCATAGTTATAGGCATTTTCTCGATTTGGTATGTGTTTCACGGCGGTTCGCGCCAACCGTCGCTGGAATTTAACACGCTAGCTTGAATGACACAACCTACAGCTTCTAGGTTGTGAGGTATGCAGGAAATGAGCGGAAAGTGTTAATAAGGAGTAGTAATGGGTCGCTGCACCACTATGGAAGACGGGACAAAAAAGCATCCTGGGAAAGTAAAATCACTTGATCGGGACAAAAACGTAATAAAACAAAGGAAGAGACGGATAAATACACCCACGTAGTAAAGAAGTTCACAATAATTCACGGTTCTGAGAGCAACGTGGAACCACCAAAATTGTCTGACTTTTGCAGTTGTTACAAAGACGTCAATAAGTACACTTAGATAATGGGAAAGTGTGGCCGATTGAAGGGGACTTGAAGCAGCGTTTTCGTAAGGGAAGGGAAGAAAGGACGGAAAGAAAAACTGTCGAGTAAAAATGTCGGTACAAATGCAGAAGCGAGAAGCCCTGTGCTTCTAAATGCGCTTAATTGTTGGTAAGGAAATTCGAAAGGAGATTGCAGTTAACGTAAGAAAGTACCCAAAACAAAGCAAAAACAACTGATCAAAAAACGTAACTGGCCATCAGAATAAACCCTTGCGTTTCTTCTCCGTTTTCACTCGTTCTTTTATCACTTCGCTCATTACACGTTCCCCCAAACCGATCCCGACTCCATTGGCCCCTAATTCTGCGCCAATATCCCATTCACGCCAAGTCTGTTCCCAATTTGAGCGCTCCAACTCAAAAGCACGTCGAGCGGTATCCAGCTCCTGTTCCTGAACCCGCAATTGCTCGCGCATTTGTTCCCCTCGACGGACCAGATCGTTTTCGAATTCACGCAGTTTTTGATTTTTTTCTTGAACCTATTAGTAGAGGGAGACGAAATGTAATGGCGTAGTCCACTGCAAAGCAATTTTGTATTTATAGAATGACGGTACATTTCCATACCAGGTGAGATAAAAGCCATAGACATCAGCGCAGACAAACGAACGGTTATGTAGCGCTGAACGGCCCAAACGCATAAGCATGCCGATTTCCGCTATAAGTAAACACTTTAGGAGAAAACTGAGTCCTTAGCTAAAAATTGGCGGCGTGGTTTTGGTTAGTCACTTTCAGGTATTCGTCCACAACACATCAACGGAGGATAATCCGCTGGTAAAACTAGATATGAGGCTGAAGTACAGCACTCCACCGAAGCAAATCAGATAAGGGTTAGCTCAAGACAGTTGGCTGATGTGCGTTGAAACTGACATGATGTGCGGCTATTATCATGCGGCAGTGTTCAGTAGGTGGTTAATTCGAATTCACACAAGAGAATCTAGGGCGGCAAATCTTTCAAAATCTGAGATTTCGGAAAGAGATCGTTGTTTAAGTAGTGAGGTCGGATGGGTTGATTATATTATTCGACCGGTTTGGGATTCTAGGTTCTTCTGTACTCGACACGCAGAGTAGGTCGCAGCGGACCTGTAAGGGAAAACAAAGAGAACTTAAGTGGTCATAAATCAAACCCAAAGCACCCAGTAAGAACGAATACCTACGAATAACGTATCGAGTGCCTGCTGATAAGCAGACACCAAGGGTAACACCACAAGGAGAAAGCGTCCGCAGCCAAGGTCACGGCGCGCAGGAAAGCTGGGGGTCTGGTGGAGCTTAAGACAACATGAATGCAGTAATAGATGGCAAGAAAGTGTGCTGACGTGTAATTTTACATACTAAAAAAGCTCGTATTGATGTAGCTGCCAGGTTGTTTCAGTTTCGTCAGTTGCACCGGAAGTAACATTTAGGACTACGGATTCCTACATGTGAGGAAGGCAGATGTACAACGATGGGTACTACAATACTATCCATCTTCGGAAACTGCACTCTTTTATGTGGGGGAATCCGTTAAAAATACTGTGGTGCCGGGGATGAATTCTGATTACAAGACACATTATTGAGGCCGAGGAGTACACTCACAAGTCCAAATCTTGTGGCTAGACGGACGAAACAAAGAATGAGAACAAACCGACGGCATTTTTGGGGCACAATATTATTCAATTTGTTACAATTTATTAGATAACTAACCTCTTCGTGGACTCCACATACATAACTGGTGATGAAATGCGAGTGATCTACGAGTTACATATTAAAAAACGGACAGAAAACGCAAAGTTGGGTCTGAAGAACTCGCAGTGTGGTTTGGATTGCGACACGCTATCTTTATTTGGACGTCCTCCCTTTAATACAGACATCGGGCATTCCGATATCCAGGACCGCACCCGAAGTGGAGCAGTATCGATGTTCCTCTTCCCAACTCTGACACTACACTGTTTGGAAAGCCAACATCGGAACTTGTCTAGGCAAAGAACATCTGAACGGAAACACAGATCAAGTCATTGATATTGACAAAAAAGTTAGTTATCATGTGGTAGGTTCATGACAGATGGTGCTCAATTACGGCTCTTAGTACTACGAAAACCGGTTTATTTGGTGATCCGGTTGCAACAACATGCACCCATTGTGACTAGTCGGCACCCAATTCAATCGATAGTTCGTTGCCCGGAACACAAATGATCTGTAGATATTTTCGGTCAGGCTCGCTTGCTGGTTCATTCCTGGTCCCTCAGATAAAAACATACCAGCAAACTTTCACGTCTGGTAGCATTCCGGGCATAAAGCTTTGGCACTTAACAATCCTGAACAACAGAAGGTACTAAAGTAGTGCAAGGGAGTGAACGTGTGGAAGACGGAAACTGACGACAAAACATCCAGAATTTGGGTCACTCCAGGGCTCAGTGGCTGCCGCGTTCGCTAATCTGGGTAACTTAACTGCAAAGTCTTATCACTAATCGAGGTGAAAGCATCAGTGTAGGATTGATGGCAGTTTAGTAACAAGAACTAGTGGAAGGGAAACCCAAGGATGGATATTGTCGGCCACAAATCCATTGCTTATATAGGCGCATGGGATTATTAAGATGGTCCTGTTCTGACTGGCCAATCAAGGTGTTCTACATTTGTGTATGGGCCATTGCCATCCGCTGCACAAATATTGTCGCGAGGTGATTGGGATTCTCACACTGGGATTGGCGCAATGGACATGGATCAGCAGTCTGGACTCATGCTGACTGCTCTATTAATCGTCCAGGTAGCGGATTGGAATCATTCTAATCGCGGCGCCCTGAGCGCCCTATGTCTCCGTGGACGTCGATGTGCATGTTGACTGAACTTTTAGTTGAGAACCAGGCTACGAGAAACTCCCTCCATTTTTGCTTTTATACTTGGGTCCGGATCTCCACTTTGTTCCCGTCGAAATTGTGCCCTTCTTCATCCATGTCTGTTGAAACCAGTGAGGTAGCACGCCCTCTTTTGTTCCTGAATCCTTGTTGACAACTTCTTGTTTGTCCCGCATAGTTCTTATCACAGTTTCTGCAATTGATTTTGCGTACGACATTCGTCCGCCCTTGCGATGCTCATTTTCTTTTTGGCTTTATCAATATTTTCCTCAGAGTGGCGGTTGGCTAGTGTGATACAATGATAGGAGGTTTAAGCAATCTAGCAGTGTTCTGATACATTTATTATACACGGTAGAACAACTTGGTTTTTGAAGTCTACGGTTTCCATATGTTTCGATGAAACTGCGTGGATATTTGTTGCTTATAACTACCTTGAATAGATGCGTCCGTTCTGCTCGTTCCGCTTCCTTAGTACAGTAGTGAGTTGCTGTTCTGCGGAACAGTACGCAGGTTACTTTGTGGTACTTGAGGTAGTCACTGTTGTAGCCCAGAATCTGACTTATATGTGTACTTTTTCCGTAAATTCAAGTTTGCAATTCACCGTGTCTGGTTCTAGTTACTAATACCTCCAGAAAATGAGGTTTGCTTTCTTTCTCCGATTCCATGGTACACTGAATGTCGGCTATGGCGTCGGTAAGCAGTTCGTATACAATCGCTACTTGACTACGTTTGAGTAGCACAGACGCATCATTGATGTAGCGCCCCACAAAGTTTCGGAGTAACAATTCGCATTAAAACTCTTTCAATTTTTGCATAACGATCTCCTTAATGAATGCAAATACGGTAGATCTTATTAGTGTAGCATCCTTTTTTATAAATTTTTCCGTGAAACGCAAGTAAGTTAAGAGCCAAATGTGGAGGAGTTCGCATACACTTCGGTCGGTTTTTTCCCGATCCGATGTCGTCCAGACGTTAGGCAAGAACTGCTTTTGCCAGCTGCAAGCTGACAGAAGTGAACAGAGCGGTAACGTCAAAGTACACCGTTGTATCACTGTGGCCTAACCGAGCGTCGTGGCATTGTGTTGTGGCCCAATGACGAGTTGATGGAGGCGCCTACCTAGTTCCTTTGACACACTAAGCAGGCGGGCCTGGAAGTGAAAAGATTGGTAGCAATAGTGACCCTACTTTGTGCAGTCTTGGTGGTAAATATAGTTGTGCAATGTTGGAGTCTCTTTCGTGGTTTCGTTCAACTGCTTGAGTATTGTCAACGTTCTGCCTATTTTGTTGGCTGCGATGCTAGGTCATTTTCAATGCATTCGAAGGTTGTCTGATTTTTCAGGATCTATTTCGCTTCATAGATGTAATCTGCTTGCCAGTAGGTAGGAACGACAAATTTATATGTTTCTGAGTTTAAACAGAGTCCGTTGGACTGCAAGTCGTTTTCGAATCTAGTCGAAAACTCCGCGGTTGTCGCTTCTTTGTACTTAAGTACAGTGACGAGAATTTTTTCCCTTATCTGAACAATCTTCCCGAGCTATTAGTATTTTAAGTAAATTTAAACCACAGGTGACTGTCAGAGAGAGTCGACATTCGTGTTGGGGACAAAGTAGCATTCGAGAATTGTAATAACAGTAGGCCGCTGTCACAAATGACAAGTAAAGCCGCATTACGAAAACTGGGACCGACGATAGTTTATCATGATTGCACAATAAGCAGTACGATCTGGAGCTCAGTGTGCCTCAGCTACCTCACAACACACAATTCTCAGATACAATGACGAAACAAACATTACCCACTACTTTCATTCCATGTTAACAATGTCTTTCAAAGCTGTTGTCATTAACCTACGTTCCCTTTTGCCTAAATTAGATATACTTTCAACACTTACGTTTATGAGATCCCCCGATATTGTTTTTATCACTGAAACTTGGTGCACGTCAGAAATTAGTGATTCTCAGCTTAACATCCTAGGCTATAAGCTTTTCCGCAAGGATCGCTCGCACAAACGTGGTGGTGGCTGTGCCATATTTCTTCGAAATAACCTGACTGCCATTCCCGCAGATCAACCTGTGTTTATTGACTTAGAAGATACACTATGGCTAGTGATCCCATCTACTGATGTTCTAGTGAGTTGTATCTATCGGCGACCCCGAACTACTCAATTTGCAACCCAAAAGCTAATCGATATGATCAATGTTGCTTCCAGCACCACATACAAATCCAAAATTATGTGTGGAGATTTCAACCTACCACATGTTAACTGGACGCTGCCTACACTCAGAAACACGGCGGAGATTGAGGAAATTATCGCATGTATCCACCTCAATGGCTGGACTCAGCATGTTAGAGAGCCAACTAGAAGTGCTACTACCTTAGACCTTGTACTCACGATGGGAATCGCGAACGCTTATACATTCATTGATAATCCACTACCTGGCTGTGATCACAACACGGTGCTTTGTGATATGACTATTGATTTACCTAAACGACCAAGTAAAATGCTAAAACCCATTCGCAACCTCCATTGTGTGGACTGGTACGTATTTCATGAACTTATCAGTACCATGAATTGGAATACGTCATTCCTAACCCACAACCCTACTGTGGCTACAAATGGGTTCATAAACAATATTGCCCTTGTTGTGGATCTACTAGCACCTACTGTAAGGAGAAATACCCATGAACATAGGGGTGAACTCAAGCTTCAGTCCAAAGCCAAAATAAAACTAAAGAAACTCAAATCGCTATACAGCAGGAACAACAGCTTCGCAACATTGCTACAAATACACGAGAACTTACTATATGTACAACGTCTAACCCTAACGGTCAAAACCAAAGAAAGCCGGGTACTCAGAAATCCTGGGAAAGTACGTGCATTGGTGCAACTACTCAAAAGAAGAAACCCTAAACAACTACAGGAAATTGAAACGTTGGCTCTAGACGATGGTTCAATAACGCGCGACATCTCCTGTATATGCGAGGCCATGAACTCTAGTTTTGCCTCCTCTTTTGTCCCCAACATTCAGCCACTTTATCCTCCACTTCCAAAAAGAACGACCGAACTATACTGCAATATCCCTGTGACGTTAAGAGAGGTGCAAAGTGCCATCGCAGCCATAAAACCATCAACTCATCCAGGTCCAGATGGCATCTCCCCAATTGTTATAAAATTCGGAGGGAAAACCTCGCACTATTGTTACTAAACATTTTCACACTTTCACTCACTACCGGCTGCTTTCCAGCTCAATGGAAGCAATCCATTATAATGCCTAAGCACAAGGGTGGACCGAGAAATCAAATGTCAAGCTACCGCCCAATAAATCACACCACTGCTGCTTCCAAAGCCCTAGAGCGAATAGTCAAGAAGAACATCGTCCAATATCTTACAAGACTGGATCTGATCAACCCTTCACAGCACGCCTTTCTCTCAAAACGCTCCTGCGTTACATGCCAGCTACAATTTCTCGATCACATCACGACTATGATTGACAGAGGAATGGCAATTATTATAATTCTGTTGGACATGCAAAAGGCGTTCGACCGCGTGCCACACCAGCCACTGCTGTCTGCTCTAGAGTCATGTGGAATTGGAAATCCGCTGCTTAACTGGTTCGACTCATATCTAAACGGTCGAACTCAGGTCGTTAAAATCGGTCAGCAACATTCTACACCGAAGCCAATAACCAGCAGTGTCTTCCAGGGAAGTGTGCTCGGACCGCTACTTTTCTTAATCTATGTAAACAATATATGTAACCCGATCAAACATGGACACCCATTTCTGTTTGCAGATGATGTCAAACTGGTTTACTCATTTCATCCAGACCAACTACATATGTGATTGGGGAACATCTTTGAAGACCTATCCGCACTAAATATAGCTAGTGAGCGTTTATTAATGAAGTTCTCCGCAGTGAAATCCCAAGTACTTGGGTACAGATGCCGCATCCCAGAAGGCTCCATTATACTTGCCGGAAACGTGATCCCAACGTCTGATTCAGTTCGGGACTTAGGAATTAGGTACTCCAACTTTTTCAATTTCTCCGAACATGTTCTTTATCAGGTTGCGAAAGCAAGGCAGCTATGCGGATATATCACCAGAACTTTCTCTCTACTTGAAGTACGACTTGAATCATTCAAGACAATCGTACGACCGACTCTGGAATATTGTACTATCGTTCACAGCCAATTGAGAAAGAAAGACAGAACGGCTCTGGAAAATGTCCAACGATCATTTACCAAGCTGCTCATGGGGCGCTGCTCAAACCTGACTTATTATGATCGCTGTCGAAAACTCAGCTGGATCCACTTTGGCTGAGACGCTTAAAGAACAACCTCGTTCTCTTCTACAACATTATAAATCAACGAATTTACCCAGACAGCACCGCACTTGAACTACGGAAGACTTCAGTCTACCCCACACGTAATGGCGGCTACTTGATACGTACAAACCTTTCAAGCCATAAAATTCGGTCGAATTTCTTCTTAGTGAGATACACTTATCTGTGGAACAAACTACCCCTACAGATACGCATGTGTACAAGCCATGTCACTTTTCGAAATCTTCAGACCTTCCTCACTATACCAAATGCTCTGAAGATATTTGACTCACAGCAAACACTAGAAACATTGACAGAAGTTGGTATAAAAAACATATGATAATAGCTTACAGCTAGCTTACCCACTACGTGTCATTACATACCATACCAAATCCTGTGTCTTTGCAGCCTAACAGTCCATTCCTTTATTATCTACTGCTGACGATACAAACATCCGTAAATTTTACATATGAGTTGCGCGGGTCTAGGACTCAAGGAAAAGTAATCATCATCCGAAATGCTATCAATAAACTTTTCTTTAATGTTATGTAACGTATTCACTATACAAATGATCGCTCCCACTTATGGGGCCGTGTACCGTCCGTCGGTAAATACACAAAATTTATTTATTTTTATTTATTTAAGACACTAGATTCATGTGCAATAAGTAATCTTGTGGTGAGTACAGTCCAACTGAGTGTTCGGTACCGTTATACTAGAAATGACCTTGGATAGAGCGTCAGTGAAGAAAGTGGAAATTAAACCTTCCAACCATGCGAGTGGCATATACTACCTGAAGATGATCTAGAGAAGGCAAGTATTAGTGAAATTACCGTACAGAAGGATAATTACGGCTGGTAGAAATACTCACGGCACTGAATATGCCGCTGCCTCACAGGTGTGCTGTTGGCTGGAATATCAGAATGGGATGGCTATGAACCTTTTTAAACTATATTTATGATAAGTAAACAGATTCGATGAGAAAATACGTCCACTAAATGTGCAACCGAAGAACTTGCTCAGATCTTCGACTCGGAATCTCAATCTGTTGGTAAAGTACAAATGAGGACAAATCTAGTCCTTAGATGGGATTCCGAGAATAAACAACAAAAACGTGGTAGAATCTCACTTCAAAATAAAAATGATTCGCATAGAATTACGTGTCGCCGTGCAGACAGGGGTGTGGCCCAGGCAAAGCTTACCACGCATCTGAATGGTAGCAGTATATTAATTACTTCGTTTAGGTGCACTAACTGTTCACCGCCAATCCTTACCTTTTGCTCAAAAACCGCCTCCATTTCTGTCTCCATTTTGCGCATTTTTGCGTTATGTTCCTTTCGCTCCGCTTCCATGGAAGTCATTGGGTCTTTGCCATCTCGCGTCTGGAAGCGACTTTCCATCGCAATGTTGCACAATTTAGTGCTTCGATAATTTTCGTAGTGCACGTAGTGGGTTACATCGCGTAAGTCCTGCGGATGAAACAACATTGGGTCTGTGGTAAGCATTCTACTACATCACTTTTGCATTTGATGATGTGGTTGTTTCGCAATTAATTGGGTAAATGTCCGGGGTCGTGTATATTCGATAGGTTGGTGAACACAAAAATAGTAATGAACAGGTAGTCTAAGACAGAGGTTTCACCGAGGAGACACAGAAAAGGTTGAGGACACTTCGGAGTCCGGTGGCTGAGCTACGAGGGTTGCAGCATAGCCACTGGGGGTTCGACCCAAGGGGACAAATGTCGTCCGCATGCCCCAGGTCTGCCACTTGTTCACTTGGCAGAATTTCCACTCCGGAAATCAAGTAGCAGCATATGGAACACACAGCTGAAAAGGGAAGAGGATACAGGACAAACCTAGCGCAGCTAACCGTACGAGCTTACTAGGTAACAGAAGGCCTGGTAGAGACCTTAAGATAGAAGTTGCCCTCCAGTGATAGGCAATATCATAATCTGGCACGATCAACTGAGTCGGAAGCGGCTTTTATGACAGAAAATCATTACAGTGCATCTGTCCTAGGTGTTATGTTGCCCCGACGCTTAATGATGTGTAAATGTGATCAATGTGACCTCGCTCACCTCTAGCCACTGATAAAAACGGTATGATCATCTTTCATAGTTGGAAGTACATTCCATTAAGGAAGAATGCAAGCCGTTGCAGAACAAATATGTCCAATCCCTTTATAATGTGGCCTAAATGGTTTGCGATCGACAGAAAAATCCTACCCTAATCCAACGCGAGCTTAACTGTATTTCAATTAAAAAGTGATTATCGGTCTTGGGTGGGAGAGGAGTAAAAATCAATCCCATTGATACAGAATTTATGGATGGTACACAGGATCCATAGATGATGAAGAGTTACTTAGATGCTACAGATAGTAGAAAGTTTCAAGTAATCATTGCACGAGTGGACAATAGCAGTAAAATGTTTAGTGTTAAGTTATGGAAAATTGCATTTTAGGAGGAAGGAGAGCGTGTGAGCGAACAGTAGCAAACACTGAGAACATAATCAATAAAATGCCGGTAACCACTACTATTGTACCTGTAGGAACGCGGTCAGTAGAAGATAACGCAGAGCAGCGAAGTCATTGTGATCCATATTCTCCACTTCAACCACTCCCCACGGATAAGATCGGGCTCGAATGTGAGCGCCACTCTCACCCACCACCAGAGTGTTGGCCCCGACAACCGCGAAGGGGATGCGATCCCGTAGCCGTTTGATTTTCAGCGGCTCTTCTTCGTTGCCACGATCTATAAATACAGATAGTGACATTACCAATTAGTCGGGGTGCTCCTAGTCGAAGGACAAACGCCACCTTGAGAGTATATCGCTTTCCAAAATATTAAAAATGGTAACGTGCCAAGTGTCAACGCTGCCGCCGGATTCCGAACAGGGTGCGTCAACGAGAAATGGATACAGGGATGAGGTAACTAATAGTAGTGTTCGTATGTTTCTCCCAACAGGGAGTGGAGTAAGACAGAGAGACATCAGCAGTACGCCGACACATCGTACCAACTTCTTACTGCAACGTGGGCACCAACGGTCACGCGTAGGCTAGATTGACCGCGATGTCACCTGCACCTACGCGGATTCAAACTAGTGACTTCCAGCTTACAAAGGTGAGCAATCCTCTCGGCCACCGGCCGACAAAGGAACACGAGAGTGAGTGTACAATGAACTCAAGCAAGTGCTTGTGTGCATTTCACCAGACGTGACGGGACAAAAGTGTGGTGCAGTATCTTGCAAATCGACCGTAATACGAAAGTGAAACACTTTCGCGCTGGATCCAGAGGGGGCGAAGCAACAGGTCGTAGTGTGGTGGCGCCGGGTCCGAATCCACCTCACTACATGGGTTTGGGGCCCCAGCATTATGCTAGCCAACATGTAACGCCAGCGGTCGGGAATGGAAAGCCAATTGACATCTGTGTGAATTAATCTTTCCTCCTGACAATGAGCCACTAAAAAGGAGCTCGTTCGCCACACCTTACTTTGGTGTCTACCCTGGGAGTATATTTTAACTGACGCAAACGTACATAAAATGATTCGAGTAGGCAAGAAGGAGAGATAGATGGACTGAGGAAAAGTGGTTGACACGCCAAGCGATTATTGTCGCATTGCGCAGCGACGCGACGGTAGCGGGCTTTTGCTTTTCCCGGTCATTCACCCGAAATAAACCCCACAACAAATATACAGGTTTCAAAAGGGCAATGTGATTTCATGCAACTACTTCGCTGTGTGCGGGACGTGGTGTGCGTTCACCTAAGTATCCATGAAAGACACCGACCAGTCACATGATGTAAGAATGAGCGCCAGGTTGACTTTCAAGTAACCACTGACGGAGACCACCAGTGAAGCTGATCCACATACATAAGGAAGATCCTGCTCAGCCAAACAGCGAATGATTATTGCAAGCTATGGGCAGCGCCACGCAATACAAATCGTCTTTCACCATTATCTGATTGCAAAAGACGCCCATCAGGTCCGATCCGCAGAGGATCGGTAAGTGGAGTTACTGCAAAATAATCGCGTTCAAGATTCCAACGTCCAACCTAGTGTGAAAGAGATTGAGGTATAATGTACCTAGGCACAAGGCTTCGGTTTCAGGAAAGCAAATTAAGCGTTGAGAGTTACGAAAAGATGAGCGTCCAACAGGCAGACGTTACTGGTGCAAAACGCAGAACCGGATGCGTGTGACAAGCACAGTCAACTTTCCATAAAATGCATAGCTGAGGTTGAGGCAAACAGCTTACGGCGTATGTAGGCGACCCTATAAAGGGTAATCCGTAGCAGAAGGAACAAGAGAGATAGGTTAGGTTCTCGGACCCGGTACTCAGCATGAATGAAAAACGAATTTAGCTAGTTTGGTGACAGTCTGATAAAGAAACCGAACCATACCTGTCGGAACTGATTTCTAGGAGGTTACTTCACTAGCAAACATTTGCGAAACCTTTAACCGAGTGCGAAGATTATGCAGTCGTGACAACTTGAAAGAAGGATTGACAAACACACTGTTGTAAAGCGGCAATCCAAACCGGTTTATCGTAGTACACAGCCAAGCAAGTGACGAGAGAAATGAGCCCTTACAGTGGTTAAGAAGGTTTCCGTGAAGTTTTCATTTAAGGGTAGTTTCGCCATTATTAAAACCACAAACCTCTTAATTTCCGCTGACAATAGGGCATATAATGCTGTTAAAAACGTATGTATTAAATGGACCAACAAACTGCCTGTTCCCAGAACGAAGCAAGGACAATCGATCGGCATTAACTCACACTGTACTAACCAATTTACCTGTACTTGCGAAGCAAGCTGCATGGACAGAAACGGAATAAGAGACCACGTGCCGGAATGGACTAAGCAGGGAATGGTCCGTTTTTCTACTTCACTTGCCCCACCTCAGATACAGTGACTAAGCCTCGCCTCATTCCCCCAACGTAATCGTCCTTAGTCGGTAACCTAATTTCCGATCCAGTTGAGTGTGAGTAGATGAACTTTATGCTCCGCCAAACCCAATAACTCATCGAACACCATCAAGTATATCAGAGGCTGGCTAATGTTGTCCTCCAAGGAGCATTTGATGCAGTCGACCAAACAATGTTATGGAATTGCTGCTAAATAGGTTCGTTCTTAGTTTCCAAGCCTCAGGCAAGATGGAAACTTGCAAGTTTTCTTGCTTCTTCGCAATCATTACATTATTGAGAGCTCCGGAGGAGTTCCAATTTTTGGCACCGAGACTCAGGTAATAACGCGACAGATTCACATCATAACAACAAGGTTGTTTTGATCATTAGCGACACCTTCCATATGCAACGGGCTCTGAGTCATTTAACGATGGAATCAGATAAGCACGGTATATCCTACGTTACCTAAAACTGCAGGACGATGCTCCAGGACCAGTAGACAGTTTTTCCTATCAGTGGAATTACATTCCGGCAGGTGGCGATATCGAAGAGGTCCCCGTGCATTGCTTAAGCACAATAACTGCTCGCATACCTCCGACAGTTGGCGCGATATGGCCAAGGCTGACGACCTATTGTGCCTGAGTTAAGTCCATCGTTTACTAATTGCAAGAGTTTTCAAGTAAAGCGGTAGACAAATTACTGTCCAACAGGTGACAGCACAATCGTACTTCCTGCACACCGGTAAGGAACGATACTGATAGATAGACAGTGCCACTCATGAACTGAGAGGCGCGATGGGTAGGCACGATGGTGGCAAACGTGCATATGACGCATGAGTGTTTCGAGGATATGACACGCACCAACACTAGCGAAGTGTGCGAGGACAGGAAATGTTACCTGTTGGAAGACTGGACAGAGCACGGACATAGAAAGACCAATATGAAATAGAAGCTTGAGTCAGAGGCGGAAGTGGGGCGGTCCACCCCGGGCACCACTTTTAGTACCGCTTATTGTCTGATACCAACTATAAAAAGAAAGTTTTCCAGATAGGCTGAGGGTTGAATATTCAATGTTACTCCAAATGACCAACAACACATTGCGCCATGTGTCACACCTATACAAACGTTCTTCCAAGCGATCCCCTTACTTATTCCACTGTGGTCACTTTCACCGCATTTACCTCAATGTCCTAAACAATGATCCATTTCATAGAACACTAATGTGTACGTTATCCTGTACCGATTATGTGGCCCTCACGCGCCCATTCTGCCCATGCTCATGGCGAAAATTTTTTCACTGCCCCGGGAGGCAAGAATAGTTTCTACACCACTGCCCTGAGTGGAAAGAATGATCCGATCGCATCGTGGATGAAGCCGAGGATCAAGAGATAGTGTATTTATGGAAAAGTAGAGATAAACACAAAAAGACATGGGAACTCAAAAGAGAAACAACGTGGAAGTGTCATGTGGTTTTGTGAAAGTCGAAACAAAATGTAGATGTCCATTAAAAGTCTGCTAATCATGATCAATAGGATCATGTGTGTTGTGCAATCGGTGGTATGAAAACTTCACCATTCCCCGTTGTTTTTTCAATTTGCCTCACTCCCTCCTATTCATTCAGCCCCCTTTTATGGTTTCCCGAATACGTGTTTCTGCTGTCTCACATTTGTGATTAGCTTGTATCGACAATGAACCTTCGCGTTATTAACTTCTCTATTACTCTGTGTATTTCGCTCGTTCGTGAGGCACCGTATTGATCCTCACCCTTGAAATGACCAGCATTGATTGATCGAATGTCAGCCTTTTCCGCCTATGCTCTGATTCGAAATATTAGGTTGATTCGTTTATGGCATCGGATTTTCGATGGATAGCTTTCGATCTCCGCCCTATGCCCTCAGCTTAAGTTTATTGACCCAATACCGGAGGTCCCACTCGCTGCGCTCGGTTCAACACACGCCTGTCCTGTCTAAGCTCTGTTCATGCTAAGCCACACTCACGATGTGTTGCGGCTATCGCTGTCTTCGCAGCATACTGCATGTCTGGTGGGAGCACTGCGTAGGTAATGAGCGTGTTCGGTGTCGCGTATTTGATGCAGGAAGAGCGAGTGAATCGCCCAGCACCGTAATATCACGCACCAGGTTCCGATGGCTGAGCGAGGTGTTGCGAATGCCAGCACACCGGCCCCCGCAGTGCGCGCCCGCAGTCTGGATGAAAGAAGAGGGGGGAGGTCAAGAGGAATGAAGTCCCACACTTCGAACTTGGTGTCGGTTGGTGTGGGACACCTGACTGGCTCGCTGGGGTCCGAAGGACAATGAACATGTCGGGTTGGATACACCGGTTGACATAGCAAGGAGCGAACCTCAATGGCGTTTGTTGTGAGTTTCTCTGTCCAGTCCCATCCCACGTATCTACTCATTCCAGCCACGATCTCTCTCTCTCTCCTGGCGCATAAGATGTTACTAAGCGGTGTTGCCTAATTTTTGCGTTCTATAATTTTAAGTAGCTTGCTTTTTCATATGTCTGAACTTTGTGTTTCGGCACAAAAATTGAATTTCGTTTCTCATCTTCAGCCAATGTGTAATGGCGATGATGATGACGCCCACTATGTGTTGTCCAGCCAGTAAGTGCAATCCTGGTGAGCTCGCGTGAGTAGCACTTTAGTGGCTTGATGTCCATTGAGTTCGTGTCGGCCTCACTTACACAGTTCACTAGCCGCAACCTCGTGTAGTAAATGCAGGTTGACCGGTGTGTACGAGCTATTCGCTCGCTGTCTGAAACTACCTGCTCTCCTCTTCCCGTGCCTACTAAGTCAAAATGATTTTGCTTTGCTCACATTTCACGTGTAACTGTGGTTGGGCCTGTTGGGCGACTTCTGGCTAAACACTTGTCCGCTGGCTGAGCATCGGTCCTGTTAACCCAAACTAAGAGCTACCGTCACACGAGCACTGCAAGCGGGCAACATCCCGGATTATAGTCTTAAAGGGAGAGTTGTGTTCTAAGGTTTACTTCCTTAGCTTCTCAGTGATTCAGTAGTTTGACCTACAAAGCTTTGAAGTAATATAAATTCAAAGCATGAGAATCCTCTCAAAGGTGGTTACATGCAGTGTAAGCAATTTCAGATGAATATTCGATCCAATATGCAGTAAAAAGCAAATGAATGTTATAGCGAACGTAGTTCGAAGGGCCACACGGTTCCTAATTCGAAACGGTCAGTAGTAAGCCAGTGAGCAACGGTTCAATTTTCCGAGTGTCAAAGGCGAACCGTAACGTCCATACCGTACACCGATTAAAATGGAATTTTGACTGATTGAGAGCTCGTTAAAGCGGGTTCCAAATCAGATAGTCCTCCACATGCCCTAAAAAGCATTAGACAGTGGTTTCAAATTGTTGGGTACCATCAATAGTGCACATCCTTAGGATCCTTCACGATTCGAATCCACGACCATCAGCCGCTTGCACCGCCAGTCAGCAGGTTATGCCACTGGGCCACGGGAGACAGTGTCGGACCGTAATGATTTATAAGCCAACTGCGATATGGTGCGTCTTACCCACCAATACCATGCAAGTTACGAGCGTTGCAGAGAACAGGGTTGTCCCCGAAAAACAACATTCACTAACAGTAGCTATGTAGGACGTAGCATTCAGAAACCGTTAGCGTGAAGATATTTTGATGTACTCATGAGTAGGGGATGTTGATGTAATTGATTGAGTTCATCAAAGCAGCTTCCAAATCAGATAGTCGTCCACATACTCGGAAAAGCACTGCACTGCAGTTTCAACCTGTTTGGTATCATCAGCAGTGTGCATTCATCGGCTCATTCAGGATTCGAACCTGCTGCGACAAACTCTCAATTAAGTATATCAATATCGCTTACTCATGTGGGGAATGGTAATGGTGGTCTCATCTGTTGGACTGCCTTGGTTTTGTTTCAATTTGGGTTCCACATGTTCGTTTCTGTTGATTCCTAATCGTACTGCGCTCGCTGCTGATGAGAGCAACTGATTTCGAGTCTTATGTCTTCTTTCTGCACCCATATGGCTGCGTTTAGAGAAGCAAGAGCGATCTCCCTACAGCATTTTGTGAAGTATAAAGTAAGTTTGGCCGATGTACGATTGTTGATCTGGTTTTGATAGCGTTTAAGAGCACCTGGTATATTTGACTGGAATCCACAAATAAGTTATTATATTGTTATCGCTGTGGCCCAGGAGGCGAAGCTAAGAAAAAGAGTACACTGGAGAACATCGTTGCATGAGCTGTGGAATTGGCTGCGGAGTGGGGGAGTCGGAGACTTTAAATTATAACAGTAACTTTGCGTATGGCTGGAAAAAGAGAGAGAAAATATTGTGCACTGCATAAGTAGAAAAAGCAAGTAAGCAAAAGGAGCTATTATTTGCGAAAACCTGATGACGACGACACACGATAAGCTCACATTGCCACACCATCTTGAGCGATATTTATAGATCGAATAACCACGCTCTATCCCCTTTAAGATTTAGCAGTGCAAACTTGAATGGTTGGTGAACACGACGGGGGACGAACATTCTCTACACCGTTGAAAGGGGGTGATAATCACGTGTGTCAAGTTATAGAACACCCCGCCTATGAAACTGAACAATAACTCACCATTGCAATCGGGTGGATCGGGAAATTCGAACACACGGATTTTATGAGCGTTGAGTTCGTTCAAGATGGTTCTTTTGAAGCCATGCAGCTCATCCACGGTCAATGTGTCCGCTTTTGCAATCACCGGTATAACGTTCACTTTATCCTGGATCCTAGTCAGGAACTCAATATCCAGTTGTTTCAAAGAATGACCTGTGATTAAATCGGCAAAGCACCCAAGCGATAAAGGCAGCTGATTAATTAAAGAACCGAGATGGAACGTAGAGCGAATGGAGTATATTTGAAAGTCTAAGGTAGCTGCCTTCACTCGAAGATTTGAGAAGAAAGTCAGGATGAGGAATGTTGGTAGACACAAGCATCTAATTATATATGGTCAGTGTCGCTAACAGTAAGCCGTGATAAAACAAAAAAGAAGGGATGTTGGAACAGATGCACACAGTCATCATCATAACTACTTCAAGTCAAGCCAAGATAAGCTTTATCCACCCGTGGCTGGCTTGCCGGACAATCTCTTCGTGGTGCCAGCTGAATGGTTGGGGTTTATTCCGTTCCTGCAAACGGTTCGGCTGCAGTGATCCAGGAAGTGGTGGGTTTTCGTCTGGTAGATGTTCTCCCTAGAAAAGGCCACATATTCCGTTTAACAACACTGCGACGTGACGGATGTGACTCGCCATTAAATTAAGTCACTGGCCCTTGCTTCACTCCGGTGGAGCAGTGTATGAGATACGCTAAGCTCAAACTGGGGGGAGGATTGGGCCCCTGTTTGTCAACCGACCAAAAGAAAGACGCATGAACTGGGCAATTAGTCACCAGCCCCCAATGGGCGCGACTCCCTGAATTTGCACTGATGCCTCGCGGATAGGCTATTTAGCCAAAGACTTGGGGTGGTAATAATAATGTGTGAGCTGTACGCCGTAACGGCGCTTCGCTGCTGCGCGACCACCACCAGTCGCGCGCGGGCTGAGTATACCGCGAGGACGCCCACCCCTACGCGGATGAGGTGGTGCCCCTAAGTCAACACCCTACTTCAGCTTGGGCAACCGGGTAGTATCTCGCCTTCTGATGAAGCCATGGATTTCTCTGTGTTGTTCTCGGTTTTCTTTTATAACAACTGTATCAACCTTTAATTTCCATGATTTTTGATGGCTCGGCTATTCCTAAACTGAGTTATAATTATTATTATTACTTAGTTATATATATATATATATATATATATATATATATATATATATATACCCGTATGAGAGCATTTCCGGCAATTTACGCGAACACTTCGGAAATACTACGACATGGAATCGGTGGGAAATGACGTGAAATGACACAAACAAAGAGTTCATTTTCAAATAAGCAAGCATTCTCGCAATTGCTGCATCATCACTTTGGGGTCGATTAACAAGCGAGACAGATAAGGTAATATGGAGTTAAGATACGAAAAGGTATGGAAAAACGAAATTCTGAACACGTGAAGCAATGGATGCCGCACTCGCTAAAACAGCATGAGAGTGGGAGGAGTCGTTTAGAATCTTCGACGAGAAATTAAAGCAGGCGTCAAAATGTCTGCCGACCACAAAAACAACGGGGAATTTTCTGCCTAATCTAGAGCATCGGGAAATAAATTTTAATGATCGCACAAGAAAAGTAGATTGCCTTTGAAGAAGTCCACACTATCACAATGACTAGCATAGTGTAAAACCTAAATTACCTGAGCTAACATTCAGGGCCAAAGTGCCTACACCATGTCAACGACAATCTAGAGAAAGCATTATGGTAAAACTATTCTAAAACATTTCTATACACTATGATCATTTCACGTATACTGAACTGTGCCTCGCCTTGTTCAGAAACGAATAATTGATTAATATTTATTAATTAATTCCCTATAGTTGACATTCCTCTTCACTTAATTGTTGGCGACGAGTGGGCTGATCTTATAATGTAAAGGATAGAAGATTCCAAGCTAGACATTATACCTATGTAAGGCGTATTGCAACTGATTCAAGAGTGTAGAAAGAAGTGCCAAATTCGAAAGAACCGAATGATGGGAAGGGCTGGACGGTCTGACCGCTCATAATGAATCTAATAACAGACAAAGATGTGTTGGAGGTGATGGCCTAATTGCCAGTAGCTTTAAGTTTGCTCCCCGAGCCGAACTATTTCGTTGCAGATGTCTCATCACCAATCGAAGTGACTTCGTCAGTGTGTACTAAGCAAAACTGACCGACGAGTGGCCACTTCAATTCACTTCCCGTTACCAGTGCTAGTTTGCAATTCGATCGCCGTCTCTTTTAGACTCGTAGTGAATGACCCGCCTTAAATTCTTTTTCGAGGTTGATAGTAGATCGGGTCTAGGTCAATGCGCAAGTGAATCGAGTTCCCCGGAGAGAACCATGTTTTGAGAAATTCTCTTCTAGTTCTTATCTATCCCTGCGCTAGGACATCCGTCAAACATGTACCCTTCTTCATCAACATGTGTCGAGACCAATGACGATGAGTAATGGTTTCGACAGGCTGGCATGTGTTCGTGTAACCTTGTAGAGAACTTTCTCCTTGATTTGTCCACATAATGTTTAGCGCAAGCTTTACAATGTATCCTGTAGACAACGTTCCGACTTTCATGTGCTCCCGTCTTCCCCTTCGATCTGGATAGGGTTGCTTTCAGAGTAGCGGTTGGTACGTGAGCTAACAACAGGTGGTGGTGCTTGGAGAGTCGAGCAGTCATTTCCGATACGTTCTAGAGGTACAGCAAAGCGATCTGTTTCGTTGTTGTTGGTTCAGATGTGGCATTTGTAGTCTAGCAGTTTATGTATCTTCGGATGACACTGCGCGGATATCTATTGCGCATGAAGGATGTTTTCTTCTTCGCGTTTTGCTTCCTCAGTATAACGAAGTGATTCTATCTAGCGTAACAAGGTTCGTATTTAGATGATTTTTAGACATTTTGGATGGCAGCTGTTGAAATTTAGGACTTGTTCTGTGTGCGCGTCTTTCCTATGAACTGATGTTCGTAAATTCTCGTTCGCGGTTACCAGTACGTCCAAGAAAGGCAGCTTGGTTTTCATTTCTGACTCCGTGGTGAAGCGAAAGCCGTCTATTGCATCGTTCAGTAAGTCTTGTACGATCTACGACTGGCTGCGTTTGAGTCATCATCATTCATTATACACGTCAGCTAGAGGTGGGAAAACACCCCCGCTACGGTGCCGCAATACATGAAGGAAATATATACATACATGGTTGGCGGCATCCGGTTTCGGATTTGCCTGTCACTGTGGCAAACCACAGGACGCCTGCGCCTACAGAGGGACCGTAGGTGGCTTGCGATGCTCCACCCACAGCTCCAAACACACACACCCTATAGCCAGTGTAAACCCGAATGAATAAGACCGGGAGGCATGCGGATGGGAGCCACGTTTCATCAACGGAGCCGGCCCACACTCCTTCACAGGCAAACACAAGCATGCTGTATTCGGGAATCATGCGCACACAAGGCGGTGGCTGGACCGTAGTCCGCTCCACACTGACTGCATGGAACCACTCTCTGATCCTAACACGGCCACAAGGACCGTGCACCCCGTCCCCTCCAGCAACGACCAACTGTCTCCTGGAGCCAGTATGGACGAGGTAGTGGGTAATAGACAGGTAGGCACCTTGTCAACATGCACATCAAGCGCAGCCACACCGGGGATATTAAGCAACAGCCAATCACTTGAGAGAAAGACAACAAAGAAAATAAATCGAGTAATGCATAAGGAAAGGGTGACATATATGTTAAAGTAATGATCATCTGAAGTAACTTGCTTACAGAAGAATGCGAGATAAGTTCACGAGGACAGAAAGTATACTTTACGGAAATGCCACGAACACAAAAATGTTTTCGAAAAGGACTAGAATTGGCTTAAGTGACGTGTGCAAGTTTATAGAAGAAAGTACAGGTAGACATTTATATGAGAAAGCAAAGCATTGGGACAAAATTGAAAACCCACCACCTGAAATAAACAGACTCAGCACGCAAGCAAACGGTGACATAAATCCTAAATTAGTGAGCATATGAAATAAGCTGTTTACAAAAGAATACGCCTACAAAAGAATACGTGGAAGTTCACGAGGTCAGGAGGTTTATTTTACGGAAATGCTACAAGCACGAAAATGTTATCGAAATAACTACAAGTGGCTTAAGCGACGTGTGCAAGTGTATAGAAGAGAGTATAACTAGGCAGTTATATGTGAAAGAAAAGCATTAGGGCAAAATTGAAAACCCACCACCTGAAATACATACATACATATAATACAATACACAAAGGAAAAATAGTTACAACAGTTGCATGTCAGCTGAGCTACCAGCAACGGATAGGCATCGTTCCGATAAGCTACTAGCCAGCTCCTAGGCAAAAAGAAAAAAATGTATTATGTTTTACCCTACGAAATGAGATCGTAGATGGAGGGGGAGGCTAAAAGGCATGGGGAGCGACAAAGAAACTCACAGCACGAACGCCACTGAGGTCAGCTCCTAGCCATATCAGCAAGTGTGTCCAACCAAACGTGTTCATCGTCTTTCGGACCCCAACCACGGAGCCGTGACGCTCCAACCGAGGCCAGCTCGGAAGTGAGGGACTTCATTCTCCTGGACCAAGTCATCGCTTGGCCACCTCTCCTCTTCTTCCACCCACACCCCCGGTGAGCAAACAACGCACGTCGAGGGAGTCGGTGGGCTGGCATGCGTAACACGTGGCCGAGCCATTGGAGCCTGGTGCGGGAAATAACGGTGCTGAGTGGTTCAGATCCTTTTCCTGGGCCGTAAACAAGGCGTCGAACACGCTCGTTACTCACGCGGTGTTCCCACCAGATGTGAGCCAAACTGCGAAGGCACCGATGGTCGAACGTAACTAGCCTCTTCATGCCCGCCGATCTTAGGGGCCAGGTTTCGCAATCGTACGGTAGGGTCGAACGTACCGATGCATTGTACACTCTACCCTTCAGGGTGAGAGTGATGTCGCGCCGCCGCCATAGGTGGCGAAGGTTAGCAAAAGCACTTCGAGCTTTCGCTACACGGTTCGTGATCTCGTCTTCGATCCCAAGGACGCTGATACAACTTCCCAGGTAATTGAATTTCTGAACGACTTCTAGCTGATCCCCAACAAGAGTCAGCGCAGGAGGCGATCCCTGCCAATCTTGGAGGAACGCTTTGCACTTCGATG